ATACACACATACTCTTTTTCATATCACCATTTTCAAAGTAGGCCATATGCTCAAAGTTTGAGGGTAGTAATATCTCCAGGGAGATGAGTCACTAAATACTACACTACCTTGGCATTCCTGCTGTTTTTCACAATATCATCAGCCAAGACCTTAAACAAAATCTAATTCTTATGTACTTCAGTACCTACCAGGGCATTCTTAAGGATAAACTAAACATTCAAACTCATAAAGTTACCTTAGGCTACACTTGGCATTAGAATCACTTAGAAGAATGTGGGACAGGAAATACAGCACACCTGCAGGGCACCATGAGGCATTCTTTTTCAATGGGAGGTCCTGTAGAAGTTTACGAAGATGTCCAGGAGCTATTCTCTTTAACTCTCTCCATCTTCCTGGAGAAAGCTCAGGTCCAAGGACATGAGATTCATTTTGGGCAGGTCATCCACAACAGCCAATTCTCTAGCAATAATCCCAAAGTCCTGCATCTAGTGTCCCTCCAAGGAATCTGCCAATGTCCCTACACTCAGGGAAGCGCAAAGTTATGGATTCTTACCAAGTATTTTTTCCTAGTTCAAATACATGTTGCCAGCCAAAAGTCACTTTCACCATAAGTATGTTGCCTTATAACATAGTTGACGCTACCTTTACCTAGTTTCAAGGGAAAAAGCTAGAAGGTCGGCCAAAGTCAAACTGTCAGACAAAAATGGAAAAGGGTTTGAAAACTCTTTTTACCCACAAATGTGTATCTTTCAAAAGAACAATTACAGGAGTCTCCCCAAAAAAGGAGGGAAAGGGAAAAAGTGAGAGAAAAAAACAAAAAATAGTTTTTTAGTCAATATACTTACCATCAGCAGCTGCACCATCAGCTAGAAATATGTAGTAGCTTGCATTTAGATCAAATCTATTCTTAACCCCAGGAAGGGTAATATTCCTTCTGAAAGAGCACTGCATAACACCATCCATCAGCCTCCAAGCCATATCCTCAAGGGGATCCTGCCAACACATACAATGGGTCTTCTCAGCACTTTCCAAAAATTTGCTAAAAATAAGATATGATCAAAATCCTGACCTGTTCAATTTCCTTTCCCTTAGATCCTCTGTGCACTTATTGTCTGCAGTGTCATTGTTTCCCTACTTCCTCTTTGAAGAGTACAAGAAACACATTCTCCCAGTTTATTTGTCTTAATCCCACTTGGCAAAAATAGTGTTTTTACTATCTAAGTTAGAAACTTTGGCAAATGTACTAACTCCATCTGGCCACTAACACACAATCAAAAACACTGAAGAAACAATTAGCAAGTAATATCCCAGTGGCCAAAATGCAACACGCAACTGGGGAGAAGTTTCAAGCCCATGAGAAAGCCATGCAGAGAACGCAGCATGCCATGAGGTGCTAGCCACGGCTTTGTCACAGCTCATTTGCTTGTCAATTGTCTTGTGAAAATGACACTTCTCTAGAAAGAAGCCACCTTTGGGCACAGGTGCCAACAACAGGCACTTAAGACAATTGCCCAAGACACTGAACCAGTCTCTACTATATGTGCACCTCTTTCTTGCACCAGTCAGGAAATTCTGTGTCACTAACATGAGCCTCTTCTTAAAAATCCGCCTGTAAGCTTTTGTAAAGGCGCTGATGCTCTAACGCTTTTGACAAACCGTAACATATTTTTTTATAAGATGCAAACAAAAGGGATTTAAGTGACACAAGCAAGAATGCATCTTTTCCTAAAAGAGAAATTTGTCTTGTGCTTTCTTAAGAAAGAAAAGGAAGAGAAAGGGGGCAAAGAAAAGGGGCATGGTGACTGGAGTTAATAATACTGTATTGTATACTGAAAATCTGCCAAAAGGGTAGCTCTCAGGTGCTCTTATCACACACACAAAGACTAACTGTGAGGCAATGGATGTATTTATTAGTTCGACTCTAGTAACCACCTCACTATGTAGAAGGATATCAAAACATCATGCTGTATATCTTAAACATATACAATTTTTATTTTTTAAAAAGTATATGTAGCAAAAATAAGTAAAATGCAGAAAGGTTTCTCCCTGATTATTGTAAGAGAGGAGCTCTGATGCCAGGCTAACTGCAGGTCGGAAGCTATCTTGCAGCACAGCCAGGCAGGCCACAGTCAGCAACACAGCCAGACGGTGGGCTGGCCAGGTGGAGGTTCCCAGAATCTTCACACCTACCCTGGGGTCCATTACAGGGTGACTTCGCCCCACCAAATGGGCAGGTTGTATGCGCACAGTCTGGTCTTCACGAATGCACATATAAGCATCATCATCACCCTGAAAAACAATTGCAAATGAGAAAAGTTCAAGGGAATTTCAACACTTTGTTTAAAAAAAAAAAGAATCTCTAATGAAATCAAATAGTATTTGATGCTTTTAAATCATAACTTAATGAGTCAATCTTAAATGGTATTATGAATTCAAGAGAACTGGCTGTCCCATATATTAATTAAAAATGATTTTGTTATAATGCAAAGCAATACAATTTTGGTGTGAAAACAGATTAAAACAGACATGTAACATGGTTACAGCCCATAACCCATCACCAGTTGAACATCACTGTCAATGCTTTTGTATATATTCATCCAAACCTATTTATATTTGTACCTGTTTTTCTTCCCAAATGGGAAAATATACAGTTTGTTACCTTTTTTCACTGAACTTATCACAAACATTGTTTTGAATATTTATTTAATTAAGTAAACGTGTCCTACAAAGTTTTATAACTATAAGTGCTCTGCATTATATTGGGTTTTGGGGGTAACTTTTAAGATGGAAAATACTGTCATCGAATATTGCTAATATTGCACACAATTAACAGATTTACTATTACATATTGAGGACAAAATGTCTGACCGCAAAAGGGCATTCCTTGTCAGTCTAATTCTTGTCTATCCTTTAGTCTCCAACACTTCTTAACTCCAAATATGAAATCTTATTTAAATGAGTATCAGAGGGCAGATGGCATCGCAACTTTAAAGCACATTTAAGTGATGGCGCCAATAAATAGTCTGGATGTTAAGTGACTGTATATAGTTTGGGTTCTTTCACTTATTCTAAAACATTATCCATAAACTATGTAACAAGGTCTTATATGTGCTTTAGTCACTAAACTCCTTAAACAAGATCTAAGACTAACCAACTATAATAAATTTTGCTACCAATACCAATATGACATTCTAACATGTTTTAAAGTTTTATTTTTTAAAGTTCCATTTTTGAGAACTCGCAAGCACACAACCTTAGCAAAGCAGTTATTCAGTGCTACACATCTTATATTCAAATCAGAACTAGCGCTGCTCAAGATAAGGAATTTGCTGTCATCATGACTGAAGCCAGGAGACTACACACTATGACACACAGACCAACTTCAGCACGGTGCTATTTCTGCACAGGCCACAGACTGAGGATGGTGTTTACATATCTATGTGGCTTTTAAAAATTGGAAGAATGCTATTTCATGACAAGTAAAAATTCATTAAATCCAAGTTTCAGTGTCTATAAATAAAGTTGTATTGGAATACAGCCACACCTAATCTATGGACAGTCTGTGGCTGCTTTAGTTCTGCAACAACAGAGGTGAGTGGCTGCAACAGTGACCATGTGGCCCACAAATCCTGAAGTGGTCGCTCTCTGAGCTGCTACAGAAAAGGCTGGCTGATCTCTGATTTAAATAAACGATGTGTGTTTTCTAGAATGCTTAAGGGCTTACCCGAGTTTGTTGTACTAGACGTTCATGTAGGTTTAAAACTTTGCAAAACAAAAAGCTGGGGTGGGGGAGAGGAAGAAGAACTTCAGAGGTGAATAAAAGAGAAGAATCTGAGTCACAACTAAAGTTTTCTTGAAGACCAGAGAAGACAGCGGCAGCAATGAGGGAGACAGTCCACAAACGGCCCAGGACGGTGTCTGAAAAGCAGCAAGGAATCAAGAATGGTAGTTGCTTTTTTATTGCTGCTGTCGATCCCTCAGAATGGGGAGTCCAAGAGCGCATCACGAGGGAAGATAACAAAGTCAGTTTTATAGATGATGGTTGTGTGGCCCGGAGCACGACTCTGGAAGAGAGCAGCTTAGCAGCTGGAAATCCCCATCTGGACACACACAAGGGAGGTCAGGACTGGGATCACTCTGGAATTTGAGCACTGAGAAGTTGTGTACAGAACAAAACAGGCAGGGGAAGGCAGAGAACAGAAGCAAGTATAGTGTGTACACTTGTATACTTTATCTCATTTAACAAAGTGGCTGAGATGAAGAAGATATACACACTTTGAAATTCAGTTAAAGTTCAGATATTAACAAGTCGTTGTTAGCAAATACATGGAAAGTTGTCCTTTCATCAATGTTAGTGATGCGGTCTAATCAAAATAACTGCTAGCACTAATTCACAAACCAAGTTGAAAAAAGGTATAACTCGGGTTATCTAATCAGTATTCACAACATCAGATACATTCAGAGTTTAAATTTACAATGTGTACTGGTAAGAAATAGCAGGTCATAAAAATACCCAAAAAATTTAAAAATAATCAATAGAAATAACTACTTTAAAAATATTGTTGATGATTTATTTCCCCCAATTTAGGCAAACAGGTGTACAGATGATTTTAATCATTAAATAGGCTTGCTCTGTAAATCAACAGCACCTGCATGATTAAGTCTTTTTTTATAATGATGAGTACTATATGATAAATGTAAGATTTCTATGTAAGATAAATATATCTTGAATCAGAGATAAACGCTTTTGTGCCATCAACGCCTACAACTTAGAACAGAAACCTCTGGTCTACTTAGAGGCTCCTCATCACAACACCCACTGCAACAAAAGTGTCTTTTCCTCTTCTGACAGATTTTATGCGGCCAGAAAAGGAAATCTGTTAGTAATTCTACTTCATGAAATTTGGCTATAAAGTGACTAGAATGTTTTTTACTCAAGTGCCTAGAACACAAATCGAAATGAGGACTCTAGAGATGAATCTTAAGGAAACTACACACTTATTCCAAGACTATCATTGTTAATCCCTGTTGGAGTTGTCTTCAGAATTTTCTTCATAGCCAGTTCCATTCACAGAACAAGCACCACCACCCTCTTTCCTTATTGCTTTATAGTCAGATTTTACTTTTAACCTAGCCTCCTAAAGCACCTAATGCACCCAGCCTGGTTCATTTTTGCCAGAACCGAGAATACGCGAAAGAATATGCTGTAGGTCTAACGGTAATTACGAAAGGGAAATGGGGGAAGTGTTTTGAACAACTGCAATATCGTTTGAACAAGTATAAAATTTCCCATAAAAGCAATTTAAAAGGGAAAGAGTCATAATTTCTTCTATGTTATTTTTAGAGGCCTATGCCATATCTTCTATCTCATAGGTTTAAGACATACCCTTTGTTGGGTGAAAAAAGATAAGAAGTGCACTCAGGAGCTATAATGGTAAAACACACATGACATAGCATATATTGCAATGTCTTCCCTCTACAAAAGTTACACCTGGCTTCCTGCAATATTTTCAGCCACAAGAACCACTGTGATCAGCGTGCACCTTTAAGGAAAATATTTGTTTTCTATCACAGAATCTCAGGGCTCCATTTTTTTTTAAATATTATTTCGTAAAAAAGTGATGTTAAGTTTAACACTTGACAGGAAGAAAACTTTCAAGAAAGGCTCCTTGCATTTGCTGATGTGGAAGTAAGAGGCTTTCTCCGTTTGGAGCCAACCCCCTCCACAGCCAGCTCTGCTTGAACGGGACTGACACATGTCCTGGCCCGTCATACCCTTCTTCCTCCTCCCTGGGATGTCAGAATGCTAACGCAGCACTCTGCAATTCCACACCACGGCACAAGGCTGCCACCTACAGACCCTTTTAATCCGTTCAGCACTACCCACAGAGAGCAAGCATCAGGTGAAAACAAATGCTGCCTGCTGTAGACCTGACAAGTGAGCCTACTGGTAAAGCACCCACTGGTGCCCAGACACGCCAGCTCTAAGTCTCTGTCTGGGAAACGTGCCAGTGACTACCAGAACAGGGGCAACAGGCACAGCAACCCAGGCTGCAGTTACTGGCCAAGGAGAAAGCGAGAGGTTGGGAAGCATCACAGACAACAGGAGCGTTTATGCAGAGCGACTTTTTCATAACCGCACTTCTGGTTTTATCACAGAGATAGACACACAGAGGTAGACAGAAAAAGTGGCAAAGCCACTGGAAATAAAATGATTTTTCCAGCTTTCCTTAGGACAGCATTGCTCTTAGAGGTATGTAATCGCCAGCTCAGAGCTTCTTGACTTAGAATCCGTTCTGAGTTCATTTCTCTGCCGTCCCTTCCCATCCCTCCCTTAAGTGAGATAATTTGACTCTGGAACCAACAGCTAAACTGCTGTTGATCAGAGCTCACTCCAGCGACTCTCCTTTCATTACCACGTATGTAAGTGAGAGGTACAAACCATCCGTTGGTCATGAGACAACGCAAAGGATAGATAGCCTTTACTGGGACCACTCATTTCAACCATCACTGACTGGTCATCGCGTGTGAAGGACAAGAAGACACAGGCAAGCTCTTTCTCTGGGTCGCAGTTCTCAGGACTCCTAATACAGAATTTCTTGTTCCCACAATCTGAAGTATTGAACTAGAAAAATGACAGAGGTGGGGAAAAAGTCTTAATTATCAAACAGGCAATTTATTTCCAATGACAGAAGAGCTGCTACCTTGAAGCATGGGTTTTAACAAGAATACCTTCTCATAATAAGAATTCAAATAAGGGAACAAAGACGTATCCTAAATTAGAAATTATCAAAGCAGTAGTTAGGTTTTGAACTTTTAAACTTAATTAATTTTAATTAAAATTTGGAAGACAATATTAATTGGACTGTAATTATGCACAAGAATTAAAATCCCTTTAATACACAAAATATTTCACCCTAATTACATTCTAGAGCAAAGTTTCTGGTAAACTTTGAGAAACTTCTCACAGAATATTTAAGTCCACATTGACATTCTTGCCTAAAGGGTGTCCTCTAGTTTTCAGAGGTGGAATTTTAAAAAGCAAACAAACAGACACTTAGCAAGTTTTTATATTTAGATCCTGGACTCTGCTTCTAGAATTCAGGTTCAAATTTGACATTAAAATAACGTGAGGAAAAAGTGGTGGTGACTCTTATATATATCGCCACTCCAAATAATGGCAATAAGAATTTCATAGGGGAGAAACAAAAGCAATGTACAGTGATTTAATTCAGGACTTCTTGCTATGGCAAATAAGGAAAAGAGTATTAAAAAATGTCAGCTCTACAATTTGACAGAGCAAATAAGCAGTCATCCTGTGTTAGAATGAGCTGTGACAGCGTATTTGAGAAGAGAGCTAAACACTAATTTAAGTAATTAGATTTAACAGGAACTGTATAGAAAAACTCTCATATCTTCTACTCTACCAATACTTCTGGCCACCAAATGTGTGTGGGTTTTTCCCACACTAAGCAATTCTGTAATTCTCTGTAGATGCCAACTGGGTGCCCTATAATTCAATTCTGTTCTGACACTATCTACTTGAAGTTGGTGTCAGACCCCAAAAGTCCCACAAGACTGTCCCCTCTTTAGATGCCAGTCACAAGTCCCGTGTTGTCACCTGTACTTCTGAATGGTCGGCCACATATTGGAGGCTCCCATGACCACTACCTTGGGTTAATTTACCAAGATGGTTCACAGAACTCAGGAAAATAGCTTACTTACTAGATTATCAGTTTATTAAAAAAGGATAGCAACCCAGGAATGGCCAGGTGGAAGAGATGCCTAGAGCAAGGTATGCAGGAAGGGACATCGAGCATCTCTGAGGGACCACCCTCCCAGCACCTCCACGTGGTCAGCAACCTAGCAGCTCTCTGAACCCCATACTTTAGGAATTTTTTTGGAGGCTCCATCCCATAGTCCTGATGGATGAGTAGCTCAATTTTCAGCCTCTCTTCTCTGGAAAATGGAGAATGGGGCTGAAAGCTGCAAGCTTCTAATCATGGCTTGGTCTTTCTGGTGACCAGCCTCCATACAGCAGCCCACCAAGAGTCACCTCATTAGAACCAAAGATGCTCCCATTATCCAGGAAACTCTGAGGGATTTTGACATATATACATTCAAATATAAGTAATAAGACATACATATTTCTTATTATTTCACAGGAACGTGAAGAGAAATCATAGTAGAACGGAGTGAACAAGGCACCAGGAGCTAGGAAATGTGGGGTTTGGTCTCTGTTCTCCCCTTTACTCCACCACATTTGCTGAAGAACTTATTCTCTCAGGGTCTCCTTACCTTTAACTATGCAACAGGAACTGAAGGAAGCAGACCCTGAGGTCTCTTCTAGCTCTCTACCAATGCCATCATCCTGCCACTCTGAATGAACCCCTCTGTAGCTAGAGATTATAAACTTGGCCCAGAGATACAATAAAAAGCTCCAACAAGAGGGATTGGCTTTTTATGTGAATATATGGAAAGATACCAATCCTGTCAACAGATTCCTACTGGGAATCTCAGGTCCAAACTGACTGTGTTCTCCCCAAGGCAGCTTTTAAATAAATAAATGTCAAGACTAAATAAACTGAGAATGAGTGCAAAGAATAGATCGAATTGTTTGGTCAAACCAAAGTTCATAATAATGTAATCAAATGGCTCTTTGCACATTGTATAATATAGAAAAGAAGGAAAACAAAATGAGATCTTGTATAGGGGTAAAAAGAACTTTATTTAGTCTTCCCTATGAGAACAAAGAGTTATAAAAAAGACAAGAAAGGGAAGGAAAAGAAAAGATGAACTAATACTTACTGAATATCCATTAAGTGCAAAGCAATTAGAAATCTTGTGTTCATTATACTGTTTAATTCTCATAGTGATATTATATAAGAGCTAGATATTATTATTTCTCATTTTATAGGTGAATAAACTGAGACTTTGAGAATTGAGTAATTTGTCCAAAGTCAAACAGAAAGTAGACAAATCAGGATTCAGGCCCACGTTTGTTCTTCCAACTGTATTTAAGACATTTTTCATTATATTCACTTCTGAATTAATAAGTCTAATTTATCAGAATTACCTTCAGTAAAACCTTTCTAACGTTTCTAATATGCATCACCCTTTCTAAGATATGTTTTTTTAACCGTAATTTTTTAAATCAGAGGGCCTAAATGGAATTCTTTTTTGAGATTATTTGGTGGGGGGAGGTAATTAGGTTTATTTATTCATTTAGTTTTTTTTTAATGGAGGTACTGGGGCGTGAACCCAGGACCTTGTGCATGCTAAGCACGAACTGTACCATTGAGCTGTATCCTCCCCACCTCTAAATGGAACTCTAGCTGGTGAGCTTGCAAAAGAGTTCCTGTGGGTCAGCGGTTCAGCATGTAGAACCTCCCAGTACTCTCTGGCCTTAGTGAAATAGGATCGAAGAGTTATATGACCATTTCAAGATTCTCCTCTAAACCTTGTCTAAATTTAACTTGAGCTTTAAGCTCCCTCTCCATGTTTGATATTTGGCTGTGATGATGAAGAAGAAGGAGGAGGAGGAGGAGAAGAAGAACAAAAAAGTTGCTGCTTCAGATTTTTTCCCAAATGAATACCTCCGCACTGCTAGGACAGACTATGTGCAAACGTCATAACCACACCTTGAACATGCAGGGTCTTGCACTCCCTTTATTCCAACCTGTAAGTCATAATGTTGCAATGAGACGTCCTCCTAATTTCCCAAAAGAAATCCAAAAACTTGCTACCACAACCCAGGACAGCTACTCCTCTTTTCCAGGCATAGAACCACAATTTCCAAGGAAGCTGTTCCTTTAGATTGCACTTGGCGAAGCCGTAAAAATGTTACTTACTGATTTGGTTAAATGGGAAGCTGGAGGTAATGTTGTTGGCATAGGTTCTACTGCAGCTTCGGGTGTTGTAAAAGGAAGTACATTTGGCTGTGAAATTACAGGACTAGGAATCTTCACCCAGTAGATTCTGTACTTCTCCACGACTGTGGCTCTGAAATGCAGTACCAGTGAGATCAGACAGAACCACGATTGTGGCCCTTCACAGTCAAATTGGAAAAAAAGGAATGAATTAGACACATACAACTTTACACAGGCACACTTTGGAGATATGGCAGGTTTGGACCCAGACCACAATAAAGTGAGTCACAGAATTTTTTGGTATCCCAGTGCATATAAAAGCTATGTTAACACTACACTGTAATCTATTAAGTGTGCAATAGTATTATGTCTAAAAAAAATACATATACCTTAATTTTAAAATAACTTATCACTAAAAATACTAACCATCATCTCAGCCTTCAGCAAATTACAGTAGTGACATCAAAGACCACTGATCACAGATCACCATAACTAATATATTAAAAATGAAAAAGTCTGAAATATTGTGACAATTATCAAAATGTGGCACAGAGATACAAAGTGAGCAAATGCTGTTGGAAAAACGGCGCCCGGAGACCTGCTCGATGCAGGATTACCACAGACCTTCAACCTGTAAAAGAACACAGTACATGCAAAGCCCCATAAAGCAAAGCACCATAAAACGAGGATGCTTGGGGGTGCCTGACAATGCTGCTAACTCTGTATGAGGCGAAGCTCTAATGACTCTCCTCCACCTCATCATTAAATGAACATTTACTGCTCACTCTTTCTCTCTCCTCTGTCTCCTGCTCTCTCTCTCTTCTCTTACTTGTCTGCTCTTTGGGCATACTCACAGCAGCCAGGAACACCAGATCCAGGGACTAAACTGCACAGATTTCTACTCTCTGACACATAGAGAACATACTACTACTACATTTTCATAGTGGTCGTTGAAAATTTTTCCAAAGGCATGTGTAGTGGGGAAGCTATACAGAGTCTGCCTAAGCAACCATCAGCTCTTCATGGGTCACACCCTCTTCTTCACATTCCGCACCACACACAGGCACAAAGTGTTGCCACCATGCACTGGCGACCTGTGCACAAAGCACTGCAGAGGATAGAGACAGGCCGGGAAAGCAGTTCTCCCCTTAAATATATGCCTACGACACCACTCCAGAGTCATCATGTGGCTTCATGACATCCCATTTCCCCCTTGCACACAAGATGAAGACACAAGTACTATTCTAATTCCTCTGAATTTCATAATACTGAGGGGCACTCAGGATCTTATTTTTCTGACAGTCTAATATGCAAGTTATAACACTGCAAAAAGAGTCATCCAAATTTCAAGGACTGGCTTTTTTTATATGCTCATACTAATATAGAAACAAATCTAAAAAGATAGTATTGTTCCCTGTATTATATAGACTCAGGCATTCATTGGTGGCTCTTATTAGCATGAAGGCAGCACAATAATTCATTCACTCAACAAATGTCTATTAAGTATCTTCTAGGTGTCAGGTCCTGTGCTAGGTGCTCAGTACATACTGCTAGAAGAAGAAGAAAAAAAAAAAACCAGAAAGCAAAACAACCACTTACATCAATAAGGTGGTGTCATGACTACACCGAACCTCCCCTAGAGGTGAATGTTCAATAGGTATAAAAATAACGATACAGATAATTATTACTTCAATACTGGTTACAGAGTTGTAAACTCTCTTACTCACAGAAACTTTATGTGATTTGGGGCACTGCTTGGAGCATTCCAGTAGACTTTAATTTCTGTTTTTTCATGCGAATTTGTGTGACTCACTGCTGATCCCTGAAACAAAATGGGAAAGAACCACCATTCAGTCACTCAATAGCTCAGCATGGCTGCAACTACTACCACTTCTACAAAGTAATTTATCGCTGCATGGCCTCGGTATTCTGATAGACTATTTTATTTAGAACAGGGGCTCAAGTACTCAACAAATACGTGTTGACTGGTTGACACCGAATTAGCAGCTGGCTCTACGAATAAACAAGAGTCAGCAGACATTCAAGAACTGAAGAGAGTTATGAGTGTTGGGTGTGTTAATGCTATACAGAGCCTGCTCATTATTTCATTTGTACTGCAAGTTTATACTTTTTATTAATTGATACAAGAAGAATGCAGAAGAAAATTCCTGCCTCCAAATACGTAGCATTAGATTTTAGTAATTCCATTCTCTTGAACAATCTTGTTCCCACCTCCATTCACC